ATTCGCCATTCTCACCCTTATTACCATCATACAGAAGGTCAATGGAGGTCAATGTAGGTGAATCGCAGTGTGAATAGCCTCGTGTTTATAGGGTAGTCGTGAGTAAGTGGTAGAGGGAAAGACTCGTAACTTTTGGGGATGCCATTAGAGGCCGCTAGTATCTTTAGCCAAGTCCACTGGGGGAAAAAAAAGTAATTTCTCTATGCTGCAACTTTTTTTTTTCTGTCCACTTACGATTTTTTGCCCTGAGGGGTGTGTGTGTGTGTATGTGTGTGTGTGTGTGTGTATGTGTGTGTGTGTGTGTGTGTGTGTGTGTGTGAACCTCCGCCACGTTGTGTGTGTGTGTGTGTGTGTGTGTGTGTGTGTGTGTGAGTCAACCTCCGCCACGTATTACCAGGCACAGTTTGCTTTTACTCTTCATCTCGCGTAAAACCACCGGGAAGCTCCATCAACAAACACCCAGCTGACTTGTTGAGACGGCCAACCAAATACGTCATCAACCTATATCATCATCTCAACATTTAACTAATTCATCTATGTATTTCTAACTATGTATATAACTTCGCTATTTACCTATTTATGTATATAATTTTAAGGTATAATTGCTATTTTTTTTCCTATTATCAACGCTACTAAATACTTACTTTCCTATCCTCCTCTCTTCCCCCTACCTCCAGCATCTTCCTCTTCCCCCTCCTCCTCCCTTAGCACCCTCCTCTCTTCCCCCTCCCCAGCATCCTCCTTCTCCCCTAGCACCCTCCTTTCTCCCCCTCCCTCTCTTCCCCCTCCCTCTCTTCCCCCTCCCCTAGCACCCCCTTCTCCTCTGTTTCCCCGGTACATGATGACGTAGGTAAAGGGGTGGGGGGGGTGTGGGTGGGGGGTTGGTCACTAGATACAATGGGTTATTTTAAGACAGTGAGTCATCATGGGTCGGTTTAAGACGTCGTTGTGAGGGTCTTAGTTCAGATACCCCTCAAGACTCTTAACTGACTGGTTAACTGGTGATAATTAACTGGCCCAATTAACTTACATTGTCTCCTTTAACTAACTGGTGATAATTAACTAGCTCACTTAACCTAGAGCACCAAGACGGATTAAGGTTGGTGAGTTAATTGTCTCTCTTAATTGGTTAGTTAACTACGTTGTCTTAACTGGTTTACTACTCGGAGATATAAAATTGGTGGGGTAAATAAGTTGAAATTATATCGTGTTATTATCATCATTATCATTATATATACATACATACATACATACATACATACATACATACATACATACATACATACAAACAAACAAACAAACAACAAACAAACAAACAAACAAACATACATATATACATACATACATACATACATACATACATACATACATACATACATACATACACTGCCCAATGCCTCACACATCTTCACTTCCATCGGTAAAATAATTATACAAACTCAAATAAATAATAAATAAATAAATAAACGAAATTATATATAAAAAAATCCATAAGAAAAATTAACACCGATTATTTACATTATCTGAACAGTTGATAAATAATAAATAATGAAATTAAAAATAAGTATATATACAGTACTATAAGGAAACTGTATTACTTAAAAGAGACGACAGCACATCTCTCGGTCACCACACATCACAGCACATCTCTCGGTCACCACACATCACAGCACATCTCTCGGTCACCACACATCACAGCACATCTCTCGGTCACCACACATCACAGCACATCTCTCGGTCACCACACATCACAACACATCTCTCGGTCACCACACATCACAACACATCTCTATATACGCTTCTTTATATAAGTACCTCATATATATATATACATAAACTATTAAACAAACACTATTTCAATTATCATATAGGCAATATAATTATATCAGTAACATTATATAATAAAATAAATAAAATAAACACAATATAATAATTAACATAAATAAAATAAATTAACATACAATAAATATAACAAAATATACCATATAAAAACACATAATAAATATATCACCGCATATATTATATAATTAAAATACAAATAATAATATAAATAAAACAAGAAAACTATAAATAAAATAAATTGGTAAAGAATAATTAAAAAAAAGTAAACTGATGAATAAAACAGAGAGAGAGAGAGAGAGAGAGAGAGAGAGAGAGAGAGAGAGAGAGAGAGAGACGGCAGCAGCAACTCACTTAAAACAGCCCACCCCCCCCTGAGTGTCCCAGGTGTAGAGACGTCACCTGCCTTTATTTATGGTACCACCTAAGTCATGCTGGCGTTAACCCGTCACTACCCCGCCCAACTGGCACTCCCACACCCCCACACCACTCCACACCCCCACATGGCACTCCCACACCCCCACATGGCACTCCCACACCCCCTGGCACCCCACACCCCCACATGGCATCCCACACCCCCACATGGCACTCCCACACCCCCCACGGCACTCCCACACCCCCACATGCACTCCCCACACCCCCACATGGCACCCCACACCCCCACATGGTACCCCACACCCCCCACATGGCATTCCCACACCCCACATGGCACCCACACCCCCACATGGCACTCCCACACCCCTCACATGGTACCCCACACC